TGTGTACATGACACAGCCAAAAAGTTTTGTTGATTCAAGCAATGCTGGGAAGGTATGCAAGCTTAAGAAGTCCATTTATGGACTAAAGTAGGCGAGCAGAAGTTGGAATCTAAGATTCGATGAAGCCATTAGTAAGTTTGGATTTATCAAGAATCCAGATGAGTCTTGTGTTTACAAGAAGGTCAGTGGGAGTGACATCTCATTCCTCGTCTTATATGTCGATGACATATTGCTCATTGGAAACAACATTCCAATGTTGGAGTCTGAAAAGACTTGGCTTTGAAAGTGTTTTTCAATGAAGGACTTGGGAGAGGCACAATACATATTAGGCATCAGGATGATTGGATTGAGCCAAAGTACTTATATTGATAAGGTACTAGCACGATTCAACATGAAAGGGGCCAAAAGAGGGCACCTACCCATGTCACATGGCATAACTCTCAGCAAGAAGCAGTGTCCACAGACACCTGATGAGCGAGAAAGGATGAATCAAATTCCATATGCTTCGCTTATTATGCCTAAATGGAGGAGCATTTAGTTGGAAGAGTGTTAAGCAAAGCACCACTGCAGATTCTACAACTGAAGCCGAATACTTGGCAGCTTCAAAAGCAGTCAAGGAGGCAATTTGGATTCGTAAGTTCATTAGTGAACTTGATGTTGTACCCTCCATCAAAGGGTCCGATAGACCTCTATTGTGATAACAATGGAGCTATTGCTCAAGCTAGGGAGCCAAGGGAACATCAGAAGGTCAAACATGTCAAGAGGCGATTTCACATGATAAGGGAATGGAAGTCTGAGGGTGAAATCAGAATTTGTTAGATTGGAACAGACGACAATGTAGCCGATCCACTCACTAAACCTTTGCCTCAAGTGAAGCACAACAATCACGTTGAGACATTGGGAATCAGGCACGTTGGAGATTGGCTCTGATTTCCCTATTATGTGTTTTTATTAATTTTGAGGTTTTAATGTAAAACACCATGTTGAACCATTCGTTTTTGGAGTAATTTAATTTTTGCAAAATTATTATCACTCCATTTCTATTTAATTGTGGTTTAGAATTAAATAATGAGTCCATTCAATTTCTGAGAATATTCAAAGCAGGGTATGGTCTCTTGGATAAAGAAACACCTTTTAAGTGAACATTGAATATTTCAATCGAAAATTATCCCTAATCAAGGTCATTAAAATGATGGACGATTAATGATTACTTGAGATTAGCGTGTAGTATGATTTATAGCACCGTTTCTTGTGCTACGAGGACATGATTGTCATAAATCATTTGCACAAGTATTGGTTTGGAACTGTACCGGATCGACTTATAAGAGTACTTTAAGAGATTTAAAATCGTCATAAGTATATTTCTCATTATAGCTATCGGAACCTCTTTCCTCGACCATGAGTATTGTAAGTTCACTTGTTTGAGTACTAGTCCGTTTTGATGTTGTCAAACGTTTGCCGTAAAAGGGGATTATAATGGCAACACTCGGGCGACTAGGTCCTCTTAGTAAGGGAATCTAACAATACAAGACTGGGAATGTCCCCCTATTAACAATAGGGAACATGTCTTTGTTGTTTACAAGGCCTCTCGAAGAGCGAGACTGTGAAAATGCATGGCGTGCTCAGATGGATTTTAGAAATCATTTTCTTGTTGACAGTCGAACTCGGAAATCGAGAAACACTTCTGCACGTAATAAGGATGACGAAGAATCTTACCTTATAGTTCATGAAGAGACATTAAGTGACATAGAAAATGGGCTATACACTAACTACACACTTGTCCGGAAGGACAAGTGGGAGATTGAAAAGAATGGTGTCCTTCCAACAAGTGTATTATTCCGATAAAGGGTTCGGAATTATTAGAAAGCTAATTCTTCAGTGAGGTCAAGTGATCGGAATGCCTAGGTAGAGGCCGCTTCCGATCAGTAATATTAATGTATAATTAATATTACAGCTTAATCTTGACTGAACCCTTCGGGTCGCACCCCAATCGAGTAACCGATCCGAGATGACGAATCAATCTGAAGGATTAGATGATTCATTAGAGTATTACGAACAAAGACGTCTGATATCGAGCTTAGAGCGTCGAAACCAAGCGTCATAAGTCAAGTCGAATTTAGAATTCGACGAGACGAGAAATCAAGCAAGCGAAAAGTACGAGCTAAGCCGTAGCCTCGCATTGGCCTATCCATGTGAGTGTTAGGCTAGCCTAAGCCACCAACCGCACCGCAAGTGCATGCTGCAAGCCAAGCATGCATATGCATGCTTGCGGGGCTGGTCCGCAAGCAAGCTAGCAGCTGGCGCGCTAGCATGCTGGGCCTCGCACCCAACTACTCGCAGCATCGCAGCAGCTGAGCATCGCCCAGCATATGCACATCGCACAGCACACGCAACTCAGCAGCAACAGCAGCCCGCATTGCGTGCGTGGCTTGCTTGTTGCGCGCATACGTGTGCGAGCTAGCCAGCCAGCCCAGCCTTGGTGCTAGGCGCCAGCTTGCAGCCTTGGCAGCTAAGGCAAGCTGCCTGCCAGCTGTGCGTGGGCAAGCATCCGGTCAATGGGAAGACTGGTCTTGGTGCCTTGCTTAGGGAGCAAGTGGTGTTTGGTCCTCCATCCCCTTTAGTGGTCCTCACCTAACCTTGCTCACCACTTGCCACTTGGCGTTTGTTGATTTATTTGCATTTTAATTTGTTTTTTGAATTAAAATAAATTAAGCAAAATGCAATTCTCCCACATTGATGGGAAATGAGAAATCAAGACTCGCTTCCCTATAAATACCCATGTTTTGGGTTTGGGAAGAAGCACTAGAGTTGAACTCAATAAGGCATCTTTTTATAAGTGAGAAAACCTTTAAGTTCGTAATACTCTAGTATTTCCTTGGTCTAGCCACGACTAACCTTCAAGATAGAGACCGCTCGGGTTGGATCGAGGGTGCGAGCCGTCGGAGGCTTACGCACTTGTGAAGCTAGAGCTTTCAAGTAAGAGCTCGTAAGCAAGCGAAGCACGCGTCGAGGGTAAGATTGTCTTTTCTCTTTCTCTCTCTTTTGCTGTTTAATTATGTGATTGCATGTTTAGTTACATTAATTAGTGTGCGGGTCTTGGGCGGGTTTCATTCCGCGTAGTGTCGGACACTACGAAACCCAACACTTATGTTGAAGTGACTGTATACTTCTGAAAAACGCTAAGTCCAAGATGTTTAAATCAAGATTGTTAGGTGGTTGCTACACTAATATGAAAGTGAATTCCCCTTGTTGGTAAACTTTTTCCACTCAGGATCATCTTGTTTGATATGTGTTATGCAATTATCTTGCTATATGTAGATTGTCTTTGAAGTGCCATCATTAGGCCCCTTTGTTTTGATAGCTGGAGCAATTTTGTCTATGAGCATCCTTCTTGTTGTTTCCTTTGTGGCTGATTCTATAACTTTGGTCACCATTGTCCCCTTTTCTTTGTACTTTGGATTCTTCTTGGCTAGTTCTTGAAAAGTGAATGGGAAGATACCAAGTCTCCCATCAAAGTAACAGCCCCCATCATTTCTAAACCTTGGTTTAATTGTTGGTGATACAAACATTGTCTTTAGTATTTTTGTGCTTGACTACCTATTCTGTATTTACCTTTCTCTGATCTTGCCAAATAATATCTCTGACTTTTCTTGGTTAAATTAAACCACTTTTCATCAATGTAGAAAAATTCATATATGGGATAATATCTGGTTTTTGTCCATGGTGTGGATCTCATCAACAATCCAAGGATCCATTTCAATCTTGTGATCTTGTTAGCTTCTGTCATCTTTGGCTTTAATGCATTAGTGTGTGGTTTTAAATCACCCCTCTGAATCATCTTTTGGGCTATACATCTTGATATGTGTAGCATTTCTACAACATCTCTAATGCAAGTCCTCTCCCCATTACCCAATTTTGTGATTTCATTTTCTAGGATTTGCACCCTCTTCCTTACTGCAAGATTATACTTTGTGCATGGATTGTACTTGTTGGTTTACTGTTTTTGCTTCTTTGAATCATGCCACAATTTACTGACTGTATTGCATTGCTTGTTTAATTGCTCCTCTATTTAAATTGTCCCTGTCAGAATTCTTCAAGAGGAAATTGAGGAGATTGAACCTCTATTCAGTGCTGAGCTTGTGCTTCTGTTAATGATGAGTTGGTGGCCTGCCATTGTTTGGTTAACCTTGACCTTGCGGACCATTTTGAATGTGTTGAGTTTCGCTGTGATGTTGTTGTTCATCAGTCCTAAAATCTTCATCCTCATCAGACACCATATTCAAATCAATGCCAAGTCCCATGTCCAGATCATCTTCACCATTAATTTCACTTTTGTACTCACTTTCTTCATCATCACTAAGAACCACAGTATCATCTGGAGGCAGGTTTAAATCCAAACCTGAAGCCATGGAAGAACAAGGCAATAATGCCATTTTTTTTTTTCCTGATGTATTTTTAGAGATAAAGAATAGTGGAAATTTATGGAAACTGTAGATTATTTACATACAACCCCTGTTTTGAATAGTTGGCGGGATTTTAAAAAATTTCCCAAAAAAATAATTTGTGGGGTGAATCATTGTGTATGGAAAACCTTTAATATGATTGGTCCTTTTTTGTCCTATGCATAGAATGTGATTGGATTATGTCATTTGGTTTGGATTGCTAACATGTACAGCTATTTATGCAAGGGTTTTTATTTTTTTTAACTTCTCTTTTCCAGTCATTTGTCATTTAATGCTTTAATTGTATTTTTATCTTCCCAATTATTTGGTTTAAGGAATCTTTACATAGTTTAATTCCTTTGTAAATGTGAGAATTAGGCATATAATAAAAAAATAAAAAAAATAAAAAAATAAAAACGGAGGGACTACCAATGAATTATTTATCTAAGGGTCAGTGGCATAATTTAGTTTTGCATTTTCTTGTGCAATCCACCAATTCATGCAGATTTTAAGGAGATAAAAAAATATATATTGGTACTTGCTCAAAGATAAAGATAATAAGAGCGAAAAGGAAACCACAATTTAATTGCATATCTTAGATACGGTATAAGAAAAATCAAAAATTGAACTTATATACTATTACATTACAATGCATTGACCCATTTTACAAACTGACCCACTTTTCCAACATTTCACAAATACGACTCAACCTATCTAGGAATATAAAACCAATAATTTATTGAATTGGTGATAACTCTTTTAAACAAGACCGACTTTTTTAACATAATACAATACAACACGGACTAACCACGAAAAACATGTGAGGGTTTTCAACACATTTAACTAAACGGATCAACACAAAACGACACGGCACTCATAAGTTAGCGCTTAGGAAACTCAACTTGTTTATCTTTAAATACAAATATGAGCAAGACACAACACAATACATTCGCCAACTCTAATTGCTATAGAGCGGGTTGCATTGGAAAAAAATAACCTATCATAAGAATCAACATAGATCATTCCCCGATGTCATCGTTCATGCACATGAAACCCCTTCCACTTTTGGACCGTTAACTGTACTATGGTTAGAAGAATTAGAAAAAGTGGAAGAGATAACTCTAAATAGCTAGCTAATCAACGAGATGCTGGAATACTAACTCAAGCATCAGACCTTACATCATAGTAGCACAGATGGCTTAAATAATATGTTCAAAAATCAAAGGATCAACAGCTAGGTTATTATCTTTAAGTTCTCAGAGCCCTGAGATAGCCTCAAGATTATACTTGGCAGAAGCCGTCTCTGCAGCTGCTTCTTTCTCCTGCATATTTGGCTTTTCCATGGCCTCAAAAGCCTGTAAATATGCATATGAAGCATTACGATTTGGTGGAGGACTAGGATTACTAATTCGGCTTGCCAGGAAGCGGCGTAATATGCCCCGCAAAAATGGAGCCATCGTGTCCGGCTCATGCTCTAAATAATACATGATCCCGCCCATACAAGCACAAAATAAAGCCACCTGTTTAAAGCAAAAGGAATTGTAAAGTGGAAAAAAAAAAAAAAAATCACCCAAAAATAAACTTCCAACCAACAACATAATTGGAAAAACAAGGGCTGACAATAAAAATATCCCATGAATCGGTCAAGCACGATCTATTTATCCGAATTTGCTCCAGCTAACACAATAAGCATAAGCTGAGGAACAAGGTTTGATAGTTCGGGGTATGTAAAATTTCTTCGGGCAAAACAAACAATAATAGTTATAGAAGGTCATTCATCTTAAAAATGGATGGATAATAAATTATAATGGCATTAAATTCTTGATCAAAATAAAGATATACAGAGTAGAAATAGATGAAGCCAGAAATGAAGAGAATTAGAGGTTGAAGCTTACCTCAGCATTCTTAATATTTGGAAGTAAATGGCGATTAACCAATATGTACCATAAAGAATCTCCAGCACGCGGAAGAACATACAAGGCAAGTTCACTCCGCCTGCTTTTTCTTTCAAACAGCACAGAAAGGGCAGCAAGTCCACCTGAGAGCCAATATACAAGTTTGTGGTCTTGTGACGCCACTTTTCTATGCAAACAAATGAACGCCTGCAGTTCAAGAGCGAAATCAAATTTGTGTGCCAAGAGGATCCATAAAATACCTCTGTGAGAGATAAGGCTACCTGAAAGATCCCAACAAATGCTGACAAGAATGTAGTTGAGCGAACAGCCTCTTTTGAAGCACGCCAACAAGTTTGAGCTGGTGTTTCCAAGAACTACAATGGACAACAACTTTGTTTCAGGTACTGAAAATACAGCCAATTTCATAAAATTGACCAAAATTGTACAGTAAAGAAAATACAGCCAGTTTTAACATGTCGCTTGAGTGTTGTTCAAACTTTTACAAAAGTCCCTCATTATTATATTTCAAACTAATGTATCCAGCCTAGAAGATAACTATAGTCCCTATATATTAGCAGTTTAGCATCCTGTGATCACAATATTATTGAACCATCTTTTATTTACGGCATGAAATAATTCGCTGATGTCCCCATGAACCACGACCCAAAACATACGAATTGTTATGTGGTACATGGTACACTCTTAGTTTAACAAAACTAGGTCACGAACTGTGTTCTTGTACCCATTCCTCTTACTAAAGTGTCCCGTGACTAAGGTAACACTGATTCATCAACAACATAGCACTCTTCAGCAAAGGTTAAACAAAATGAACCCCAAAAGATAATGTGTCAGCACCATCATTACACAAGCAAGGTACCCAACTGAAGAACTTTTTCCCATAACTTCCAATCTCTATGCTGAACAAAAATAGCAACATAACAGAGTTTAACTGGATAATTATTGCTGCAACATCTGTCTATAGTGCAAAGGTTCCATATCACAGTAATTTTCCTTTCCCATGAACTAATCACAAGTATGAATGAAAATGTGTGCTCAAGATAGAAGTACCTTTTGTAGATGCAGAACCACATAAGGTACAAAGGTCAGCGAGAAATAGAGAGGAAAGGTTTTTTTAAAAGTAGTTGTTGCTGCTTTCATATCATGAGCTAAACATGACTGGGTATTTGGATGAATGATGGAACAGGGAATTATGGAAGGGAACTCTTCCAGAGACACTGAATTTTGGACCCCTCTACTTGACAAGTATTTTGACAATGAGGCCACATCCACCGCACTTCCTCTACAACAGTCCCGGACAGCCTTGTATACAGGTTTTGCCACTGGCCCTGTTTTCTGAATAAAATCTTGATAGGATTTTGGTAAGCTCTCAGGATGCATTATGAATGAATACATGACCTGAGAAAAGTATCTACCAAGTTAGATGGATTTAATAATATTTAATGTCAGTTTTGGTTAGAACGTCCAGTAAAGATAATAAGTATGATATAAGATGGCTTTATAATACAGATAACACAGATACCAAATGAATCGCTAATGCAATTACAGCATCATACACAACTGAACCACTTCATGTTAACATCCATTAGCAATATTAGGTGTTCGCTACAAGAAAAGAAACAAGTCATAGAGGACATAGCTTAATTTAGAAGTCACAACTCACAAGACTCACAGGCTCACAGCACCACATGGTTGATGTACTTTACATGGTAGTGCATATGATAATATATCAGATGAATTAGCTAATGCAACTATGGCATCATATACAACTGACCTACTTCATTTCAACATCCAGTTGCAATAATAGATGTTCGCTCCAGAAAAGAATCATGTAATAGGAGGACAAAGCTTGCTTTAAAAATTAGAAGTCACAACACCAAATGGTTGATTATATCTATAGGGTAGTGCATATGTTAAATTAGTTTCTTTTTTTTTTTTTACAATTCTGCTGAAATAGTAAACAAATGCATCAAATGTGGCAAAGCAAGCAACATGGGAGAAGAAGGGAGAATAATCTCTGATGACAACTTTTTTTTAAAAAAAATGTCTCAATTACCGGCAACAAATATTATGAAACAAAATTTGCAGGTGGAACAGAAATAAGTAATTAGCATGCAGGTAAACCACAATTACCTGCGCAGAAGATAAAGCAAAAAGTAAAGAATCACCATGTCTCCAGTGGCTTCCCCATAGATGAAATTTGTTCTTGGATTTAGCAGAGTTGTAAGTACACTAGTAGCAGAAGAAAGAAAACATTATCAGATGTAATTAAAGCCTCACAATGTTGCAAAAATGATCACCTGAGATCAGTAACATAGATGAGCAGGAACAGCCTTAATTCAATATACAAGAAAACAATTTAATTGATTAAGGTACCTGAGCCAGCCTGGCCAAAAGATACAGAGCTAGAGTACGCCTTTGGTTGGGATCATCTAATGCTAAGATTGACAAGCCTGCAATAGAGCCTGCTAAGATTCTGCTCCATCATCAGCTTTAACAAAGTTACCAATATGTAATACTTGGGAGTGTTTTACATAAAACACATACACTGTACAGTTAATATGAGCAACTAAAACACATACAAAATAGTCCAAATTACAAACTTACGCATTGAAAGGAGTTTCTTTTCTTCTCAACTTCCTCAGTATACATCTCAGGGCATGATAGGATCCAGTTAAACCACCAAAAACCAACCCAACACGACAAGCTTCCTCTCTAACAATCAGATCCTTTTCTGAGACAAGTTGCTGGACAAAAGCAACCAACAAAATTCAAAATCAGGCAAGACATACTTCTATATAAAGCATATAAGCAACTTCCACACAACCATCAGTTAATGAGGCTCTCATTTTACAGTGTAAATGTAGAAGAGTACTGCATACTGATAAAATTACTTGTGCATAGCAATTCAGTATACAAAATGATAATAGCATATTCCCTTTACTATGAACGTCAAACTAATTTAAAAATAATTGGTAATACTTGAAACTAAAGCTATTGTATCAATAAATTACATATATTTAACCTCTAGTAACTCTTCTCTAAATTTGACACATATTAAATTCTCTTTAAAACCATACCAAATAATATGATATTAATAAAGACCATGAAGCTTCATCATCCAAATATAAGAAGTGAAGTACATATCCCAAGTAATGTAGTGTAAACAACTTTTTGGGCACAACACTAAAATTTGCAGAAGTATATGAAAGAATATGATCTGTTTTTCTTTTTTTTGGGGGTAGTAAAGTTAGAAACACAACTTTTTGTAGGGATTATTAGATATATGAAGTTGTATGATCTTCTTCATATCTTTAATGAAAAAACTTATTGGAAGGTACTTGTGCATTTCATTTTCTTAATTGCTCACACACTTATGAACACATAAACAAGAAAATAATCATCTCATAAGTTGTTTACTCTACATTACTTGGGATATGTACTTCACTTCTTCTATTTGGATGATGAAGCTTCATGGTCATTATTTATATCATATTAAATTAAAAGTAATATGACACAATTTGAAGATAAATAATATGATATATCTTATAAATTATTAAATTATGGTGTTAAATGGTCAAATTTGAGCATAAAAAAACACCTAAACTGGAGTTTATATGGTCAAATGTAACCTTTGAAATTTCAAATATAACCATGGTGATGGAAAAAAATAATTACAGAAAGAAGAGAGAAAGGGCGGCGAAGTGGCGGGTTGGGGGCGGTAACAAAGGAGCACCAGAATGGAGGGACTGGTGGCGCGGCAGCAAGGAGGGGTGGTGGTGGCGGCGACACCATGAGAGTAAGTTTGAATGTGGTGTAGCACAGTGATAGAAGGAAATAAAATTAATCACCAAATAACATTTTATATCAAAGGGAGTTACTTTCAAATTTCCATTCTCCTCCTTCCCCTTTCTTAAACTCTTTCCCTTACTATGTGATGAACCAAACGCCCCCTCTTTTTTTCAAACATCTTACAGAGAGGATCAACTAAAAGCAGTCATAACAAAACCCATACCTAAATTGACTCAGTTGGGCTGCGGAATGCCGATGGACTGGGCCATTAAACAAAACAAGCCCAAGCCCACCCTGAACTTAGCTTGTTAAACCTATTGGGCCCTAATCAAGGTCGCATGCTCCCCTTAACTCAACATTAGTATGATATTGTCCGCTTTAGGCATAGACCGCACGAATTTGGTTATGGGCACCTTCCAAATGGCTTCAGACTAATAGAGTGTATTCTCATTTATAAGGAACTCTTCATTTCCTTATTCTTTCCATGTGGGACTTGGGATGAACAACCCCAACATTTCTCCCCCAAATCAAGGACCACAAAACTCCAGCCGACCCTAAGGGTAGGCAAGGGGTGCAACTATCCCAAGACTAAGGCTCATAAGGGCCCATAAATAATTCACAAGCTGCTATGATGATTTAAATCGCAAAAAAAAAAAAAAAAAAAAAAAAAGGGTCATTTAATGAAGTAGTATTTTAGCATTCCATTTCAGAATTCAATGTTTGGTACTCTAAGCCTATACTTCATTGCACATTTAAGGCATTGAATTTCCAATTTTCCATAAAATAACTGAACGGTCTCCTACTTCCAAGTTAACCTCTCCATTTTTCCAAGTTCTGAACAATGTGAATTTACCAATCCATCTCCAAAAATAAGAAACTATCACTAGTAGAAATTATAGTCTAATTTCCAATTTCTTTTTTTCTTTTTTTCTTTTTTTTTTTTTTTTTTGGTAAATCTAATTTCCAATTTCTAAAATGTGATTAAAGGAAATATAGTTCACCAACAATTTTCTCCATATTATCCTATCAATTCATGTCGCATTGTTGCCGCTCTTTCACTATAACCACTACTTGTCTTAGTTCTCATCTTGAAACTCCATTTAATGAATTTAAGGTTATTTATCTCCCTTGGCATGCTATCATTATGAATTTTAACAGCTAGTTTTTTAATAATGCTGAAGTGGGAGAATAGTTTATACAATTGGTGAAGAGGGAGAAGTGTTTTGTAAGTTTTGTCTAAATTCTTTTGTTAATCTGATGGAGTATAGGAGGTGTATTAACCCACATATATTTTATTAGTAGAGAATAAATGGTATTCACATAGATTCAAATTCAATAGTCACAAACATATATTCCAAAACTACATATGGAATTTGTATATTATATACACAATAGCTTACTTAGGTTTGTGAATATTGAAGTTAAAGACTAATTTTGTCTTTTTCAATTTCACTCCCAATATTTGTGGCAATTAGTAAATTAAAAATAAAATAAAAAAGTCGATGAAACATATTGGTATGCTATGACTAACAATTTAAAAAGAGCCTCTATATTATTTTGCCTAGGCCCCTACATTGTCAAGACCGGCACTACATAACTCATGGTCTTCCCTCCAGCAAAACCATCTTGCACCACCGTTATCACCCACGAAATCGCTGCCTAATCATCCATATTTATCGAAAATATTGTTTACGCAAGGCTACAAAACCATAGCATAGATCTCCCATCTTGTACCACCGATACCACCACGGAATACACCACCTAACAACCAGTGTTTGAAAAAGCGCGCCTAGGCGCAAGGCGTTAGAGGTCATGCACTTTTTATGGTCTAGACGAGGCAACTTCGATGAGGAGCAGCTAAGGCGCACCCCTGAGGCGCACAAAGAGTTTTTTTCCAGAATTATTTTATTACTTATTATAAGCGCCTCACTTCAATGAGGCGCGCCTTAGGTGCAAGGAACTCCGAAACGCCTTGGTGCGCCTTGAGCCTTTTTATACATAGCTAACAACCACAATATCATGTAGGCAACCACATATCTTCAATTGCAAGGGCACAATGAGGGCCTCCCACATATCATTGACAAAGATTAGTACCCAATTTCCAATGCCCTCGAATCACACCACTCTACACCCAAGTGTTCCAAACTTCCAGCATCAGTTCCATGTTGCATACGTTTGTCGCGACGGAACCACATGATTTAATACTACTTGTTGGGCCTAGATCATCCATCTTGTTGGGCTACATGCTCACCTTCACTCCACATTAGTATGATATTGTCCGCTTTAAGCCTAGTTCGCACGAATTTGTTTTTGAAAACCTTCTCAAAACGTGTCATACTAATAGAGTGTGCTATAATTTATAAGGAATGCTTCACTTATTCTTTCCATGAGGGACTTGGGATAAACAACCCCAACATCCAATTCAATAAATAAACTTCCAATACCTCGCTCATTCTTTTCCTTGCATCCCTCTCCATACTCTTCTTTTTATTAATATCATCCCCTACAAACGGGCAATTGTGCATATGAATTTTCTAACTAAAAGCAAACTAGAATTATACACATATTTAAAAATTAAAAAAAAAAAAATGATGTTGAGTCTGCCTTTAGTAAGACAAAGATTAAACGGATAAACACAAGGACATAGTTGAGACCTACATACCAAAAAAAAAAAAAAAAAAAAAATTGAATATAACTAAAAGTGTGGGGCAACACAACAAGAATTTTTCTAGCAAACTATGAGTGAATCATTTTGTTTCCCTAACAAAAGCAACATGGTAGATCTATACCCATTTTGCTAGCAAAACTTTCATTGTTTAGTGTAATTTAGACTTTTGTTTATTAGATGTCCTTATCTATGGGCTTATTAGCCATTAAGGGTGTGTTTTCTTCACCAAAAAAAAGTACGTTTTAGGGCTAATTAGGTCAATCGGGTTCAACCAAGTGTAAAAATAAGGGGTAATCAAGGTTGATCGGATCCAATCAAGTCTAATAAATTTAGTTCAAGTGAAAAGAACGCGCCATCATGCACATGAATCTTCTTCCACCCTCTCAAATCCCACGAAGGTGCAGTAGGATTTATTGAAATAAAGGTTTCATTAATAATCAAAACTAATGTATGTAATTCTATTTATAAAAATAAAATATTAATATTATCAATGAAGTAATAAAAGCATCCATGGATAAACCATGACCAAGCACAGAACCAATCCATGCCTGTTTTCACCATGTACAAAACCTACCCATGGCATACTAGTTATGAGCCAATCTAATAAGGGTCTTATCAGACCAAGAACCACCTAACAGCAAATCTACAGTCTTGTTTAGGCCCAGCCCATGGCCACCTCTATATCTCTTATGTGGTGCTAATTCTAATTAAATCAAGAGTCTCTACCCTTCATTCAGCTTTCCCCTAGAGAAAACCCAAAGGTGCATTCACATCTCCCATAGAATCTTTCAAATCACATGGCATGCCATAATCGTCCATACATAAATTAGCTAAGCCATCATTGATATTATTTATAACTGACTGACATTCCGCAATTTGCTTGGTACTAAAAGTTTAATCAAATGCCCATTTAGTTTGTTCCTACACTTCAAGAGGCTAGCATTAAACTTGAATCTTACCAAGGAACCAACAAAACTACAATCCACCCATTGAGTTTGTTACATTAATCTACGTACAGCATCCAAAATACAAGCAGGATAGTCGCAACTAAGTTCTACATCAACATCCACATACATTGTAGGTTACATTTTCCTTGCTCGTTTATTGGCCCGTCTAGCCCAATATCAATCCGCTATAGACTCGTAACCCACTTTAATTAGACCCATTTTGACCTGCTATAAGACGAGCCACTAATGACCGTGCCCACTAACCCAAACCAACCCTGACCTGGATCCCCAATAACCAGGTCTACTAGAAACCACACCTACAATCAATTCTCTAAGTTGATGTATAAATTTTGACAAAATTCATAATCAGCAATATAGTTTGAATCATCCTCTATATATACATATCCACAGACCAAGGCAAAACCAAAACCAAATTAACAAACTCTAAAATTTTCCAATTAAACTTCATAAAGGATGAAACTTGAGGCTGATCTGATCAAGAAAAGGCCAAAAAGAGCTAGTAAAATGATATATTCTATTGATAATTCAGATATACTTTCTGGTCACTACATTTCCTTTCTTCTAAGACTCAGTATTCATTACAATGAAAAATGTCATACACTTTCCTTGTTCGACATCGATACAGAATAGTCATCAAGGATTTCTATCCTCCTATCTATGATTCGTAACCCTAATTTGAGTAATTTCAATCTCTTTGATCACAAATTCCAGCAAGAAATAATTAAACAATAGCAATTAGAAAACAAAAATGAAATCAACAAACTGAAGCAATGCATAAACAAATTAATCAACAATTCAGACAAAAAATACAATAATTAAGCATAATGTAGAACCTTAAGATCAAGGAGGGAAGAGTAAGAATGACCACGAGCAAGCTTAAAGGCGCGCAAAAGAATGCCAATACCGACACGAACGCCATAAGAGAGGAGGAAGCTCTGACAGAGATTACCAATGGCGTGAGCAACACAGGAGTCATCAGGGTGATCGCAGGGAGGGCAGTGAGGTCTACGCGCTGCAGCCGTAGCGGCACGACTAAGCTGGCGACGCTGGAGCTCTTGGATGGCTTCCTTGAGGCGCTCCTCCGCCTCGTGAAGGCGATGCTCGGAGGAAGCGGTGTCGGAAGGATCGGGGATGATGGGAGGAAGAGGGGATGACGGAGGTGTTGATGGAGGCATAATTGTGGGAGAATAGAATATGGTGTCTTGGTTGGTTGGTTTGTTGGTTTAATTTGTTTGAAATGTTTTGATTTGTAAGAAGTTATTTTTATTTTTCTGGATTTGGGTAAAATTGAAGGTTAGTTTTTCAGTTGTGAGCAAAAGTTTTGTTGTATGCTTGCTTAGTTGCTTGCACGTCTCTCAATTTTTGTTTGTTGGGCTTTCCGAAAATGGAGTTGATTTTTTACCAGAAAGTATGAGGATTGTCGATTCATGAGATTTTTATGCACTCGATAACGTATAAATAAATTTATCTTATTTATTTCTGTGTTTTGATTGTATACATTTGTTAATATGTACATCTTTCGCTATTATAATACATTAATTTTTTATCCAATTGAATGTTTATCCCTATAATGTCGGAACATTAATTTTTTACAAAAATAAATATTCTTAAAAACATTTATCGAAACAATTTAGAAAAGATCAATACTGTGTTTTATATATATGTTGAGAATAGTTTAGAAAATTTTTGTTAGATAACATCTTTTAAAAATCGAATTATTAGGTCTTGTCAAAAAAATATATCGAATTATTAGAAAAAAAATACCTTAAAAAATTATTATTGTAATAAACGATCATTTTACGTCAATGAACAAATGTAAGTTAACGACTAATGCCACAAAGTTGTAATTTAATATAGCAACAAACTACTTGAACCGATTTAATTTAAATGCAAATCCAAAAAGCTAACCTGAATACAGTCGTTGTACACCACAAATGAAACCCACTACCATCCTACACAAAAGCACTGGGACACTACCATCATTCGACTACGCCAACCCAGCCAACAGCGACACTAATGATCAAATCAACCTTTATATCTAAAATTTTCAAAACCAAAAAGTATTTTGAAGCCGCTAAAGACCATAAACTAGACAGCTACATAGATAGGAGAAAGGAGTTGACACGGGCACCAAGACAAGCACACCTTGCATCCAAAGCACAGGTGGCAAAAGGCAGGCAACAATTAAGTCTTCTCCACAATTAAGGGCAATAACGTCTTTTCAACCAGTAAATTAGGGACATGATGGTCAATCATTGTTCTAAGGAACAGTAGCACAAGTTTTGACTTTTTACAAGTTTATAGATAGATTTGTTATAAATAAGTACCTTTTGCAAATTAGATGGTGCACTCGTATGCATAGTGTTCATAACCCAAGTTCATTGGGGTTAAATTATAAAAAGTATGTTTTTTGGATTTGAGTTATATGCTCTATTGCTCTTCATGAACGAAAGGAGCAAATCCTAGTATGAAAAGAATATAATTCAATATGAAAAGAACTAAAAGTGATGCTAGACTTAAGTATAAAATTATGTGCCCGAACCAGCAAAATAGTATTGGGCTTTTTTGGACCAAAGCAAGGCTTTTTGATTTTTTCGGTCCGAGTTCAAGTTTAGGTCTAAATATACGTGTTTTTATCCAATCTTTCTTCACGTTCTTTTTCTTCAATCAATCCTTTTATGCCACCCTTTCCTTTTTTTTTTTTTTTTTTTTTGAGAAACCAGCGGGTATTAATCATTAAAGAAGGTCAATTTCTGCCAAGTCTTCATTTGATCCTTAGTTGTCATTTTTGTAGAAATCCTAGTTAGTCGGATTAAAGATCCATTATATATGCCTTTAATTATCATGGCCTCTTTCGACTCTATAATTATCCATGATGGGTCTAAATCTTACTTCTACAATTTTTATGATTAAAGCCCTAACAGTCACAACCTTGTCATTGGTAAATTTCAGTTCTAAAGTGATTTAATACAAATTGTTAAAAATAATACAACATTTGTTAGGTCTTCAAAAAATAAAATGACATTTGATTAGCTAGTGGTAGGCTAGCAAATTACTCAACGTTCGAGGTGTTGGGTGCACCCAAGCTATATTTCAAGGTGTTGAGGCTAATTTTATCTTTATAAAAAATATTATAAAAACTTAACATTATGAAAAGTAAATAATGAAATCAATTCGATAACTATTTATTTGATAAATTTGCTTTCAATACATCAAAATTTATGTGGTCAAAGTTATTACGAAAAAATATAATGTTACAATTCTTTTGAAAAAGTAAGGCGCTTGATATATATAAAATAAAATGACAAAATAATTAACTACTTGATCCTTTAAATAAGAATAACAATTACATTTTATGATCGGATCCTACAATCAGATTCTAAACTGTTTTACCATTCCAAAGGAGAAACTAGAATTTGACATCTTTTGTGGCAAACAATAATCTAATGAGAAGGTATTGGGTGCGGACGTCCGCACGCAAATTTGTTGCGGCAGGCTTGGCTGTATATTTTACTTGTTGGCTGATATGTTTCATGTGTTGGCTGATATGTTTCATTTGTTGGCTGATATGGTTTTTGTGTTGGCTAATATATTCTTTTTTTATGCGTATTTTTGACGGTTTATATTTAATGGAAGGATTTGAGTGATTTTAATGGTGAAAATTTGAAGGATAGTCTTAAAAGGAAACGACTTCTAAGTTTGAGTTTTAGGAGCAACGATCCCAAAACCCTAGTTAACAACTAGTTTGAACCTTAACAAAATTCTCTTCAAGCAAAAGCTCAACAATCTCAACTTTTATTGTAAAACATCCTATTAAAATAATTAACATACAACTAGTATATATAGAAAAAATAAATCTATCCTACTTGCTCCACAAGCAAAGTAAATAAAAGTCCTAATAATTAATTAATGAACCAAGATAGCCCACTAACTAAGTAGCACAATTTTGGAAGCCCAAGGCCCCATAACTACTACTAAGAAAATAATAAAAACATTATTAAAAACTCACTTGTAAAACCCCTACTTTAAGAGTAAGGTAAAACCAAGAGAGTACCTATAAAAAGCAATAAACATAGTTGTGAGAAAAGGTTACTCGATTCCCATCATTTTTGTTGGCTGATAATTTTTTTTTTTTTAATTTTTGATAGGTTCCTTTTGTTGGCTGATATCAGAAATCATTTGGCTTATATGTTTCTTTAGTTGGCTGATATATTTATTTTGTTGGCTTATATATATATTTTAATTGTTGGCTTATATGTTTCATTTTGTTACACTAGTACAAAACTAACCTCAAGTAACACCCAAAAAGTGTTACATAAAGTGGAAGATTGTCCAAAGTAAGTCATATTTGCAAAGTATTTTGCAAAATGGATGCGTGGCAAAACTATTTACCAAACTAAGTTTCTTAGATAAAACGCTGTCTCGGACAGCGTTTTATACCCTGCATTTAAAAAAAAAAATCAAAGTATAAAACGCTGTCTGAGACAGCGTTTTACATGTTGACTTTTTTTTTTAGAAAAAATTCGTAATTTTTAATTTTTTTTTAAAAAAAAATTTATTTTCAGATTTTTTTTTTTTAAAAAAAAAAACTAAACCTAAAAATGCTTACTGAGTCAGCGTATTTAGGATAATTTTTTTTTTTAAATTATTAATTTCTGATTTAAAAAAAAAAACGAGAACTAAGTTAGGAGGAAAAAGGATGAGACGATGAAGCGAGTTAATGGCGGCGAGTCGATTGGAGTCATTAGCTTCTTGAGTCGCCGACGAAGAGAAAGAAGAAGATGGTGCGGCGGCGGAAAAGGCGGTGTCGTCTTTGGCGAGGGCAACGGAGAGAAGAGCACCAAGTTGTTGTTGTTGATGGTGAAGTCCTTGCATAGTCGTCGTCGTCTTCTTCGTTGAGTTTGTGCTTCTGGAATTAAGTTGAGTGGTGTTGTTGTTTCAGATGGTTTGGGATTATGACCGCCATTGTTGTTTGTTTTTTTTTTTTTTTAAAATCAGAAATTAACAATTTAAAATAAAAAAATATTTACATTAAAAACGCTGACTCAGTCAACATTTTTAGTGTAATTTTTTTTTAAAATTTTAAAATTTAAAATTACGATTTTTTTTTTTTTAAAAAAAGTCTAACGTGTAAAACGCTGTCTCAGACAGCATTTTACACTTTGAATTTTTTTAAAAAAAATCCAAGTTATAAAACGCTGTTCGAGACAGCGTCTTATCCCTGAAGCTTAGTTTGGTAAATACTTTTTCCACGCATCCAATTTGCAAAATACTTTGCAAATACGGCTTAGTTTGGGAAAACATCCACATAAAGTGGTAAAAGTGTTATTATAGACAATAGATAACACTTTATTGGATGATACTTCCACCCATGTTCCCTAAGATCTTATGTAACACTTTGGGTAATGTATGATAACATTTTCAATAGTGATACTATAAACCCTCTTATGTAACACTTTTTATATTATTAGTATCATTTTTAAAGTGTTAATTTTATTTCTTATGTCACACTTACTTATCTTTAGTAACATTTTAATTTCATATAGTATCACTTTGTCCGACATTATGTATCACTTTTCGAACTAATGGAACACTTTGTTGAGTATTAGGTAACATTTTGCAATCATCTTTTGACATATATAGTAGCACTTTATTCGATATTATGTAGCACTTTTTGCAAACTAATGTAGCATTTATTATTATTAAAATATATAAATAATATTAATATGTACAACAAGTATGAATGAGAAATTAATATATATGATAAATAATAACTTGGATTGAAATAATTTCATAATTCTTTCCAAAAAAAATCCATAAACACCAATTTTAATGTTTGTCAAACAAGATAATAATAATAATAATAATAATAATATAAAAAAAATAAAAATTCAACTTCGATCTCTAGCTTGGAAAAAGTGAGAAAATAAGAAAAACTTCCAAATTTAAAAAAAGTCAGCGTGATAACAGTAAAACAGCATATAGAACAACAAGCTAGCAGAACGGCAGCAGCAACAACAGAAGACGGCAGCAGACAGCAGCATGTAGCAGCAAGCAGCGGCAGCAAATAGCAGCAGCAAACAGTAGTGGCAGCAAACAACAGTAGCAAAAGTCAGCAACAAACAGCAGTTGAAGCAAAAAAGCAGTAGTAGCAGCACAAAACAACAATAACAGCAGCAAAACAGAAGTGATCCATTTGATCCTATATATGTGAGAAAGCATCATATATCAAATAATTAGAACAAAAATGAAATAACGCAATAATAAGAGTTAGTGCTTTTTATTGCGAGAACTTAACAACTCCCCATCAAAACCTTGCTTTTGGAAGGGGTGAAGAGATTCCTTTAAGCACTGGTGCTTTTACTAGAGCTTGTGTGAAAGAAAACTGGAATGCTATTAATTCCAATCCATTACAAGGAACTGCAAATATACTTGGCAGGCACCCTAGGTATGAAATCTTTATGAGGTGG